TTTTGGAATGTAGACACCGCAAACTATTTTCTGAGAGGCATGTTGAGTCAATAGAATAATTTATTGTTTACTACAAGTTTTTGGAAAATGACAAAATATTTTTTTTTTTTTTACACAAAGTTGTCACTTAATAGATATAATGCTCACACATGACATAAGTAAATGTGGAATTGCTCCCCAAAATACATTTTGCTATTTCTCCCAAATATGGGGATACCACATGTAAGAGACTTTTTGGCAGTCTAACCATGTACAGGACCCCGTGCTTTTGGAGGCCCTGAAGTGGCAGAATAGTACAACACCCCCCCAAATGACCGTTTTTTAGAAAGCAGACACCCTAAGGAATTTGGTAAGAGGCATGGTGAGTATTTTGCAGGTCTTGTTTGTTGCCAAGTTTTTGGAAATGAAGAAAGAAAGCAAAAATGTATTTTTTCTTTACTTATTTTTTCAAAACCTTGTGAGAAAAAAAATGAGATCTGCAAGAATACTCACCATGCCTCTTATTAAATTATTTGGGGTGTCTACTTTCCAAAAAATTTTTTTTTCCCCTGGAATGACAGCTCTCACTCATTTTTTCCTCACCCTGAAGAAGGGAGTCTTTTCTCCTGCAAAACATTGGCTTGATGTACTTGTCTCATTGGGCACTCCTTATTTTCTCTTATTCCAAGTATACTTTCCAAAAATGGATCATGGCGGGGGGTGTTGGTGCTATTCTGGAATTTCAGGGCCTCTGAAACTGTGATAGGTAGTGAGGAAGTGAAATGAGGAAATTACACACGTTCAGGCTTTCCAAGGGGTCATTGGATTTCGAGCTCCAGTATGCAGCTAGACTCTCAAAAAGTCTTTCACAAGTATCCCCATACTCAGGAGAAGTAGCAGAATATATTTTGTGGTGTAATTCCAAATATGCCCATGGCATGTGTGAGCAATATACCATTTAAATGACAACTATGTGTAAAAAAAAAAAAGTTTGCAATTTTATAAAAAAAAGTGTGGAAAAAAATAAATCTTCCATGGACTCAACATGCCTCTCGGCAAATAGCTTAGGGTGTCTATATAAAATAAGTATGTAGCGCTTATATATGTATAATAAAGTGATGGAAAAAATGAATAATTAAGTAATGAATAATTAAATAATGCACAATAACATATGTTAAATATGTTAGATAACTCAGTCCTTATAATAAAGTAATTAAGTACAGGTGTTCCAACAGTCCATGATCAAGAAAACCGTGACTCTTGTGTTGTTGTGAATGTACAAATAATGCCCTAACCAGATAGCGCATAAATTGCGCATGGAGCAATTAAGACCTGCTCCTGGTGCTCTGGACTTGTGATACCAGGCAGATGTCATCAGCAAGTCGGCCACTAGATGTCATCAGTCTAGGTGTATTCTTAAACATTCCACCAGGGCCATCGTCAGCAGGGGAAAAGGGGAAGTCATATATCTTCCAAATCCTCAGGAACCTTCAAAAACGGGCTCACATGGAAATAATGAGCCCCAAGAAAGCTTCTGATAGTGTAGTAGGTCTTTAATTGTCAAAATTCCAGCATAAACAGAGAAATAAAACTTACATCCAGATCTGATAAGTCAACCAATCAGGATGGCCTTGCGGTATATGCACACAGGTCAGGGGCACCTCCCTGACATGTTTAGTGTAAAAACACTTCCTCAGAGATTCGTGAATATTAGACTGTTCAAAAAAATAGCAGCGTTTGTATTCTTCTTTACAAACTCAAACATTCACTATATAAACTGAAAAATGTTTGAAGATTTTGCTTTCCTTTGAATCACTTAATTAATATTTAGTTGTATAACCACTGTTTCTGAAAACTGCTGTACATCTGTGTTGCATGGAGTCAACCAACTTCTGGCACCTGTGAACAGGTATTCCAGCCAAGGATGATTGGACTACATAACACAGTTCTTCTCTATTTCTTGGTTTTGCCTCAGAAACTGCATTTTTGATGTCACCCCACAAGTTTTCTATTGGATTAAGATCTGGGGATTGGGCTGGCCACTCCATAACGTCAATCTTGTTGGTCTAGAACCAAGATGTTGCACGTTTACTGGTGTGTTTGGGGTCGTTGTCTTGTTGGAACACCCATTTCAAGGGCATTTCCTCTTCAGCATAAGGCAGCATGATCTCTTCAAGTATTCTGATGTATTCAAACTGATCCATGATCCCTGGTATGCGATAAATAGGACCAACACCGTAGTATGAGAAACATCCCCATATCATGATGCTTGCGCAACCATGCTTCACAGTGTATTATGGATTAAATTCAGTGTTTGGGGGTCGTCTGACAAACTGTCTCCGGCCAAAAAGAACAATCTTACTTTCATCAGTCCACAAAATGTTGCACCATTTCTCTTTAGGCCAGTCAATGTGCTCTTTGGCAAATTGTAACCTCTTCAACGCGTCTTTTTTTCAACAGGGGGACTTTGCGGGGGCTTCTTGCAGATATCTTGGCTTCACATAGGCATCTTCTAATTGTAACAGTACTCACAGGTAACTTTAGACCTTCTTTGATATTCCTGGAGCTGATTGTTGGCTGAGTCCTTGCCATGTTGGCTATTCTTCTATCCATTCAAATGGTAGTTTTTCGCTTTCTTCCACGTCTTTCAGGTTTTGGTTGGCATTTTAAAGCATTTGCGATCATTTTAGCTGAGCAGCCTATCATTTTCTACACTTCTTTATATGTTTTCCCCTCTCCAATCAACTTTTTAATCAAGGTACGCTGTTCTTCTGAACAATGTCTGGAATTACCCATTTTCCTCAGAATTTCAGAGAGAAATTCATTGTAACCAGCATGTACAGCCTTCCTTCCTTAAATAAGGGCAATAATTACCACCTGTTTTTCAAAGACTGAATGACCTCACTAATAGAACTCCACACTGCTATTATTTTGAATATGCCCCTTTCAATTAGTGATTCAATTACACAGAATCAGCAGCATGCATGTCATGACTGTTGGGTCTGTTGGATTTCTATTACTCTACTACACCTACTAGTAAATTATTTGCCATGTAGAAATATCATTTCTACCAAAAATAGTGGTTGATCAGGTTAGTGATGTCTGACTGCTATTATTTTGAACACAACTGTAATCAGATGTACCTGTACCTCATCTGATGGACCTCACTGTTAGAGAGATCATCATATCATAGCTTTCTCTGATCTTGTCCAGAGTCAGGGTCCACTTTTAAAAAAACTCTCAAGATCCTGTTTACTCATAAAAAAACAGAGAGACTATATAGTGCTCACGGGCTATTTATGATAAAAAAAATCTCTTAAAATGCACTCATATCGACATGAAGTAAAAAAGTGCATCAGAAAAACACTCCCTGTTACCAGACTGTTAGCTCAGTCTGTCTGAGAGTGGGATTACAGTGATGATATCATAGGCTCTTCCCAACTCGCACATTGCATCTCTCCAGACTCTTTCAAGGGTTGCTACCTTTGAAAAAGTCTGGAGGGACACAACTCATGTTGTTGCCCCAACTGTCTGTCTCTTGTGAGAAGTCTGCTGAATTATTTGAGCATAACAACAGCCACTTGATTCAAGAAGATGTGCAGCTATTAACGGGTTCTGAGATTGAGGGGGGGAGTAATAGTAGATTAGATGGAGGGGACACCAGACAGGGAGAACTGATTGGCAGTGATGTTCCCACAGTCACAGCGTACTGCCAAGTTGATTTCAGCAATGAGGAGAGAGGGGATGAAGAGTCCTCTGACCATAACTGGGTGCACATAACATTGCCTAAATATAGCCATGGCAATATTTACACAATTATGTCATCATTATCACTGCCCTTCCCTTACATTGCCAATGACAGCTCTAGGAGCTGCCATTCGGCTAGTAGTGTCATCACCTTTGCGTGTCATAGTTTTTCTTTTGGCAGTTTTGGAGCATTGTGATTGATGCAGATATACATCGCAGAACATTTTTTAATAAAGGACTTTTAATAAAGGTCAAAAAATGTGTGCTTATTTACATTTTTAGATTTGTTTTTGTGAATGAGTAGGGGCACTAAGTTCTTTGCAAATAACCCTTCATATTTAGGACATATAGCCTGATATGGTTCAGGAATGGGGGCAGGGCGCTGCATGCTTGGATAAGGGTCTGATATGGAATTTTGGTGATACCTCACTTTTAATTTTTTGGTAGGGCTCTCCTTAAAATACCTACCAGACATTAGGGCCTGGTAGGAATTATGGGATAACACAAGGCCTTTTTTTTTTTGGTGGGGGGCCCAATTAACCCCCATCTATGAAGAACATCTGATACAGAAGAACAGAATCCCTGGTCATGTAAAGGAAGGCTAGGCTTTTCGCCTAGGTGAATTCCTGATGCCAGTGGCCATGTGCACCAGAACGGAGAGAAGCAGTCTGATTTCAGCTACATACAATCGACACAAGGATTTTACTTTTGAGTTTATTCTACATACATTTATATTTCAGGATTAAAGAAGATCACTTAACAATACCTTTGCTGTCCTTTCTTGTTCTGTAGAATAAAAGCATTCCACTTCTTTTGCAGAGTTGCAAGAGTGATCTCCTTTGGACCTTTTCTATTGATGGCCTTTTTTCAAATGCTTTTAGACCTGCATGCTGCTAGTAACCTGTGACTTATTACTGAACTGAAAAGTGTTGTAGTGTGTTACATTTGTATCCATTTGTGTTCAATGGGGATATTTTGTTGATACATTCAATAGTTTTGTCCTCAGCTAGGGGAGCAGCACAGATACCTCTAATAAATGGTATACTTTCATAATATTTATATACATGTAGTAGTGCAGTCTGTTCGGATCCTATTTTGATTTGTTAGGAATGTCCTTTTTAACCACCTCCCGCCCGCCATATAGTAAAATGACGGACGCAAGGTGGTTCTCTCGTTCTGGAAGGACGTCATGTGACGTCCTCCCATTCTCACAGCCCATGCACAGCTCAGGAAGCACGCAGCACGGCGATAGGAGGTGTGCTGTGTCCCCTCGGACACAGTGGATCACCGATCCATGGAAAGAGCCGAACATGACGGCTCGGTCATGTGATCAGCTGTGTCCAATCACAGCTGATCACATGTAAACAGGGAAATGCCAGTTATCGACATATCTCTCCTCTCGAGCTGTCATGCTGACAGCTCGAGAGGAGAGACGGTAATCAGCATTCCGTGGAGGGGACATGTACACTGATCATCAGGGCACTGATGATCAGTGTAGCCCCAGCAGTGCCACCTGTCAGTGTCCATCAGTGCCAGCTGTCAGTGCTCATCAGTGCCACATGCCAGTACCCATCAGTGCCACATATTAGTGCCTACCAGTGCACACCAATACCACATATCAGTGCCCATCTGAGCTGCCTTTCAGTGTCACCTGTCAGTGCCAGTCAGTGCCACCTATCAGTGCTGCCAATCAGTGCCACCTATCAGTGCCAGTCAGTGCCGCCTATCAGTGCGCATCAGTGCCGCCTATCAGTGCCAGTCGGTGCCACCTAACAGTGCCAGTCGGTGTCACCTAACAGTGCCATATATTAGTGCTGCCTTTCAGTGCCCATCAGTGATGTCTGTCAATGCCCATCAGTGCCATCTACCAGTGCCTCCTCATCAGTGCAGCCTATCAGTGCCCATCACTGCAGCCTTATTAGCGCACTTCAGTGAAGGAGAAAAATCACTTATTTACTAAATTTTATAACAAAAACTAAGAAAAAAACTCTAGTTTTTTTCAAAATTTTCAGTGGTTTTTGGTTTGTATAAGAAAAAAAAATAAAAAACCCAGAGGTGATTAAATACCACCAAAATAAAGCTCTATTTGTCACAAAAAAATTATAAAAATTTCATATGGGTACAGTGTTGCATGACCGCGCAATTATCATTCAAAATGTGACAGCGCTGAAAGCTGGAAATTGGCCTGGGCAGGAAGGGGGTAAAAGTGCCCTGCAGGCAAGTGGTTAATATCGGCAAACTTCTCTCATGTATTAACTAATTTAAGCTTCTTGTTTCCTTGAATGGAGTTCCAGACTAAAGGAATAAAATATTTGTACTAAAAGCTGAAATGGCACTGCATGCAATTAAAGCGTAAAACATGCTATCACACCGTATGTTATTTAAAAGTACAGGAGAGGTGAGATTTTTTTGGGAAGCTATATTGGCAGCAAAGTAATTTGATTATGCATTGTGAAATTTAGAATTAGTGAGCTGTAAAAAGTTAAAATAAGCAAAAATCATGGCAAGAGCTGTATCTTCCTGAAAGTGGAACTAAACTATCTCAATCCGCTGGTTTTAAGATAAGCTTCTATCCTTAGTAATTAGATAAAAAGGTACAATATATTATATTTACATGTTTTAGCCTTTTTTTTCAGTTTCTTCCTGGTTTCTGATTCAGGACAAAATGATATCATACATCCCAGGGGTCTTTATAGGCATTTTTTCCTTCATTTGGAGGAGGGGCTTTCTCGGCTAAGTGCAGCTCCTATAAATAAATATGATCTCAAAGTGATATAACATAAGTAAATCACAGCTAGTAAATATAATAAAATGTGCTTAAATAAAGTGCACAATAAGTGTATATAATGAATACAGTCATGGCCAAAAATATTGGCACCCCTGCATTTTTGTCAGATAATGCACCACTTCGCCTAGAAAATTGTTTCAATTACAAATGTTTAGGCAGTCTCATGTTCGTTTCTTTTTTTTATATTGGTATGACACAAAAAAGTGGAGAAACAAAAACCAAATCTGACACATTCCACACAAAACCCCAAAAATGGACTGGACAAAATGATTGGCCCCTTCTCAAAATTGTAAGAAATAATTGCATTCCAAGTTTGTGATGCTCCTGTAATTTGTAATTAAACTCACCTGTAGCAATTAACAGGTGCTGAAATCACATCAGCACCAAGTTAAAATGGTGGAAAATCGACTCAACCTTTCTGTTGTGTGTCTCTGTTGTCTGAGGCACACAACAGAAATTGTGGAAAAGCAAGGACAATCTCAAGGTTACAAGTCCATCTGCAGAGATCTTTATGTTCCTGTGTCCACTGTGCGCAACATTGTCAAAAGGTTTACAGCCCATGGCACTGTAGCTAATCTCCCTGGACGTGGATGAAAGAGAAAAATTGACCAAACATTGCAATGAAGGATTGTTCCAATTGTGGATAAAGAACCTCAATCAACTTCCAGACAAATTCAAGCTGACCTTTAGGCACAGGGTACAACTGTGTCAGCTTGCACTATACGTCGCCATCCAAATGAAAAAGGACGCTATAGTAAGAGACCCTGAAGGACCCCACTGCTGTCACAGAAACATAAAAAAGCCAGATTGGAGTTTGGCAAAACTTATCTGAGGAAGCCAAAATGCTTTTGGAAAAATGTTAAAATATATAACATACAGTGCTGCGCCTTCTTTCAATATGTAATTGCTAATAAATAAAATTAAAGTATAGTGAACAGCCGTGAAAAAATATATGCACAGGTGTAAAAAAAGTCTCTAAAATATAACTTATTTCTTGAACTTGAAAAAAACTTCACAATTTCATGTCTTCATGCATCCTCCACCACAAACACCAGATGTGCCATCACCTGGAGTTTTTGACCTCACTATATAGTTTGGTCAAAAAACGCATGTGTTCCTTGAGATGGACATAAAGTGGCAGTTGTATCCTGGAAATGGACTCTTTCTCCAAAAGATCACAATCCCTTTACTCTTCCTCCTCCACTCAGCATACATGCCAAAAGACAAAACACAATGGTGCTTTATCCTTTAAAACATATACATACATAAAACATACAAGCAGGTGGTGCCATGGTTGGGATTCAAACCAACAACCCTAGTACTGCCAGGCAGAAGTGCTAACCACTTAGCCACTGTGCTGCCTGGTAAAATCTAGCATCCAGATGCCAAAATAGTAAAAACAAATCACAATGCACTTACAAAGATAACATAAGCTCCACCCCACTCACATGGTTCAGCATCCTTAAATGGTATGTGTTGTTAGCATCAAGAAACCACACAAGTGTGGATGCAGTTGGAGGTCCATACAGGAAAGGCAGTGATTGATGGACAGAAATGCGCTGTGGGCTGCATTAGCAGCTGGAAATTTGGTAAGTGTAGTAATGTCTTCATTAGAAGGTGATACTCTTCATTGGACTTTTGCATAGACTGTCCTTATCTACAGTCATGGCCAAAAATATTGGCACCCCTGCATTTCTGTCAGATAATACACCACTTCACCCAGAAAAATGTTGCAGTTACAAATGTTTAGGCATTTTCATGTTTATTTCTTTTGTTTGTATTGGTATGACACAAAAAAGTGGAGAAACAAAAAGCCAAATCTGACACATTCCACCCAAAACTCCAAAAATGGATTGGACAAAATTATTGGCACCCTCAATTTAATATATGGTAGCACACCTCTTGGAAAAAAAAATAACTGAAATCAATTACTTCCTGTAACCATCAATGAGTTTCTTACACCTCTCTACTGGAAATTTGGACCACTCTTATTTCACATACTGCTCCAGGTCTCTCAGATTGGAAGGGTTCCTTTTTCCAACTGTTGTTTTCTGATCTCTCCACAGGTTCTCTATGGGATTGAGATCTGGAGTCATTGCTGGCCAGTTCAGTGCTCTACAGTGCTTTGTCTGAAACCATTTCAAGGTGTTTTGGGTCATTGTTACTATTTGGTAGTCTTCAGATTTCATAATGCCATGCACATGGTCAAGACATGGGATAGCGCAAAGGAGTTTTACATACAATAATAAAGACACAATACAATAATATTCAAATACAACATTCTTTATTGTAAAATAATGGTCATGTTGCTATTTAAAGGGTAACCTCACGGACACAGCTGATCACATGATAGAGTAAAAGGCCAATCACAGCGGCCTTTTACCACGTGATCAGCTGTGTCCAATAACACAGCTGATCACAAAGTAAATACAATTGCCGGTTATCGGCTGCACTTTCCTCACGCTGTCACAGCATGTGGAAAGTACTGCCGATAACCGGCAAGTGTCACAGAGGACATCTTCACTGATAATCAGTACCCTGATTATCAGTGCAGCCCCAAAAGTGCCCAGCAGCGGTGCCCAGCAGTGCCCAGCAGTGCCACCTATCAGTGCCCATCAGTGTTGCATATCAGTGCAGCATCATCAGTACCTCCTTGTCAATTCCAACCAGTGCCACCTCATCAGTGCAGCCTATCAGTGCCCATCAGTGCAGCCTCATCAGTGCCCATCAGTGCTGCCTATCCATGCCTATCAGTGCTGCCTATCAGTGCAGCCTCAAAAAATTACCTGTTTGTGAAATTTTATAATAGAAACATAGAAAAACTCTTTTTTTTCAAAATTTTTTGCTCTTTTTTCGTTTATAGTGCAAAAAATAAAAAACCCAGAGGTGATTAAATACCACCAAAAGAAAGCTCTATTTTTGTCAATTTATACAGTGCTTCACACATATATACATATATATATTGTACATTCACTTCAGTCCCTAACCCTCAAGGGGTGTACAATCCAAGGTCCCTAACTTACATTCATACATACACATATTAGGGCCAATTTAGAGAGGATCCAATTAACCTACCAGCATGTCTTTGGAGTGTGGGAGGAAACCGGAGGAAACCCACGCAGGCACAGGCAGAACATGCAAACTCCAAGCACTTTTACCCCCTTTCTGCCCAGGCAAATGTTCAACTTTCAGTGCTGTCACACTTTGAATGACATTTGTGCAGTCATGCAACACTGTAATCAAACAAAATATTTATCCTTTTTTTGAGACAGATAGAGCTTTATTTTGGTGGCATTTAATTACCACTGGGGTTTTTCATTTAGTTTCTGTTATAAAATATTGTAAATAGGTAATTTTTCTCCTTCATTGATGTGCGCTAATGAGGCTGCAGTGATGGGCACTAATAGGCTGCACTGATGGGCACTGATGAGGAGGCACTAATAGGCAGCACTGATGGGCATTGACAGGCATCACTGAAGGGAACTGAAAGGCAGCACTCATATATGGCACTGATAGGTGGCACTGATGGGAACTGAAAGGCAGCACTCATATATGGCACTGATAGGTGGCACTGACAACATTGATAGGCGGCACTGACTGGCACTGATAAGCAGCACTGATAGGTGCCACTGCCAGGTGTCACTGATGGGAACGGAAAGGTAGCACTCATATATGGCACTGATAGGTGGCACTGATAAGCGGCACTGTTAGGCGGCACTGACTGGCACTGTTAGGCGGCACTGACAACACTGATAGGCAGCACTGGCTGGCACTGATAAGCAGCACTGATAGGTGTCACTGCCAGGCGTCACTGACTGGCACTGATAGGCATCACTGAAAGGCAGCTCTGATGGGCACTGATATGTGGCACTGATGTGCACTGGTAGGCACTGATATGTGGCTTTGATGTGCACTGATGGGCACTTGTATTTGGCATTGATGGGCACTGACAGGTGGCACTGACGGGGCTACACTGATCATCAGTGCCCTGATGATCAGTGTAGATGTCCCCTCTGAGGAATGCTTATTACTGGCTCTCCTCTCTTCACACGCTGTCACCGTGAGGAAAGGACTGAAGATAATCGACATTTCCTTATTTACATGCTTTCAGCTGTGATTGGACACAGCTGATCACATGACAGAGCCGATGTCATCAGCTCTTTAGTGTGATCGGTGATCCGCTGTGTCCCAGGGACACACTACACCGCTGAGAACAAGGGGGGAACATGCGTAGTCAGAGTGGAAGGATGTCGTATGATGTCCTCCCAGAACGAGAGAACTACCGCCCACCTGTCATTTCCTTATATGGCGGGAGGCAGTTAAAGTTGTTGCAAAAGTTATTTTTTTAAATTAAAATAATAAATATAGAATATTTACCTGCTATATGTAATTGTATGGAACAGAGTGGCCCAGAGCTTCCTGTAATTGGTCCCCCTTGCTTTTTCCCTTCTCAGGGGCCCCCATAGGAAGCCACTTTCAATAGGGGCCCACATGCAGGCTTGCTCCTGAGCCTTGCTGTGTGTGTTTATCGATGCACAGAGTATGGCTTGGTCCTGCTCCCCCACTTCCCTGTCACAAGTTTTGATTGACAGCAATAGGAGTAAATGGTTCTGCTATCCTAATTGCAAGCTCAGTAACTGCATGACAGGTGCTGCCCTAACAGGGGTGAGGGAGATCAGTGAATGTCCATTCGATGATCTCCCCTAGCTAGTAAGTTTCATAAGTATGCTCAATGTTTAGGCTTGATATGTAGCGTAAGATAAGGCACAACCTCATCTTTTATATTTTAATGAAAAATTGGATAATATATGTGCACTATAATTACCTTTAGTACATTGCATACACACACACAGTATATACACATAAATGTTTTTACCATGTCATTCCTCTCTAGCAGGAGTGAACTGACCATTTGGAAACTCAGGCACTGCCCGAGGGCCCGGGGTCAGTAGGTGGCCCCATGAGACGCCCCTGGTACCTTTTTCATAGGCTTTTTTGAGTTTGGGCAAGGACACAGGGGCCCCATGATCCCCTATTGCCCGGGGGCCACATGAGTTGTCAGTCCGCCCCTGCTCTCTAGATGTTTCTGTTGAACAGGCTTTTGGGAAGACAGCAAGCTACTCTGATCAATTTCAAAGTGAACATGGAGGGACTAAGTGGGGACAGACTCTGTTTCCCTTATTAACATAGTATGCAGAATCCAAGATTTGAGATCTTTAACCCTTTGTTAGGACAGACATTGTCCACATCTACTGTAGAACTGATAATGAGATTGCCAGCACAGTACAGACATGGTAAATTATGGTACATATTACCTCCCTAGCCTCCTTAACATTGAATAGCAGTGCAAAAAATTTGGAGTTGTCAGAAAAGAGCCAATAAAAATGTAAGCAGCAATTTTTAAATATTCTTTTTAAGTTATGCTCTGTAAATTGGAGTATAGAGTATAACAAATATAAAGTAGATGGTATGCTGATTTGCCTGGAAAAGTCAACATGAGACTTCTCATAATGACTTTATAGTCTTTTTCACAACTCCAAAAGCCAGGACTAGCAAATATAAGTCACTTTTTTAATTTGTTACTTTTAGTTGGGGTTTAGTCTGGGTATTTCACATCAGATTCAGCAGCACACCCAAGGGGAAGTGTGGGAAAGGTGAATGTAAGTGAAAAAGGAGTGGGCTTTAAACAGACCCTTAATGAGTATTCTGATAAGTAGAATAATTGTATATACTGTGCAGTATGGGGGGGTTACCAAAACACTTAGAATCTGGTGCATCTGTGCATGGTAGCCAATCAGCTTCAAACTTCAGCTTGTTCAGTTAAGCTTTGACAATAAAACTTGGAAGCTGATTTGTTTCTATGCTGAGCTGCACCAGATATTTCGCTCTTCACTTTTAGTATATCTCCCCCAATGTGTCTCCACTATGTGTATTTACCAGTTTGACTGGAGTTGCCCTTTAAATTCAAGAAAAGTGACTCAGCCCTTTGGAAAACTGCCACTTTCAATTCAAATCTATGTGCCTACGGTTCTGCATAGTAAAGGATAAGCGGGTTTATTCACAGTTTTTATTCCTCTGATAAATGTTTTTACTTTGGGCAATCTGTATTTTAATGCCTTACAGGTTAGGATTTATTTCCTGCTGTTCCATTGTATGCCATCCAAACTGTTACAATCAAGGTTTTCATAGCTGAAAGATGGTTGCCAAAAACTAAATGAAGCCCGTGAATTAATATTGCATCAATGCCTTTCATTTTCCAAGTAAACAGAAAAGAAGCCAAGAAATGTTTGCCTGCTCTATTCCTCTTGATGCACTTTAAGCTTTTAGATATAATGAAAATGTTCTGCCAGCATGTTTCACACTGAGCTTTCTAAACAAAAGCCTTATATTGGTATTGTACATTACGATCATGAACTTTTGATTCTTCCAAGCCAAAAAGGCAAAGGAGAACTTATTAAACAGGAGCAGTATAAATAGAGCAGCAATTAATTTCAAATGATAGCTGCAAATTAAAACAAATCTTAAAAGGGAGCTTCACATCGTCTGTTGGATCAATTTTGTTTTTAACCCCTACCTTTTTTATTGGGTTTGGGCCCTTTCACACTAATGAGTTTTGCTGCATTTTAACCTTGCTAAAATGCAAGCAAAATGCATTAAAAATATTTCCTTTTAAATACTATGGTGTTCATCACACCGCTGCTCTTCGGTGCATTTTGAAAGCTCCTGCATGCTATCTCTTTGTTGTGCTTTTTAAAATTGCACCAAAATCACAGCTCCCCACTGAAATAAATGAAAAATACATCAAAAACACATCACATTCCATTTTTGGTGGGGTTTTTTTAAGTCACATGTCCATGTTCCACAGATGCATGGCAACCGGAAAATGCACTGGAAATGCATAAAAACGCATTTGCATTTTGAACGCTTTTTTTTTTGATGGAGCACTGTGAAAGCACCCTTATACTAAAAAAAAAAAATACTCATACACCCAGTAAACTCAGCATTGTCCTGTAGTAATCTATTGCTCTGCCATTGCACATCAGGTCCCAAGCAACCATCTTCTTTCTTTTTGTCACTGGGAGCCAGTTGTCTCTTCCTGGTTCCTGCAGCTGACCCCCTACTATTGTGACGCCAGGTGAGCAGAGGTGACCAGAACAAAAAATGTAAAAAAGGTAAATTAACAAAGGCTTTTAAGATACCAAGGGGTAAGGGGGTGTTTGAAGGAAACAACATTTTTGTTGGGAGTAAAGATCCCCTTTAAAGGATGTTCAACTCTTGGAGCATGTTACACGTTACACACATATTTAGACCCAGACATTTTGTAGTTCACAATAAACTGCAAGGACACTGATGAGTTCATTCACAAGCCTTGCAGTTTTCAAACTGACAGCCGGTACAGAGTTACAGGCTGAAAGGTGTCTTGTTTGTCTGCAGGTGCCTGACATTGCACCCTTGATCCACTGATCATGGGTAAAATGCTTTGCAGGCACCAGTGGAGAAAAAATAATAAAAGCACATTTTTTTCTGCAAAAATATGTGCATTTATTATTTTTTCCCGAAAAAGTGAACTTAGCCTTTAACTTTCACTTTCATAATTTCACTTGATGTGTTTGCCCCCCTAAGCTGCAAAGGTATTTTTAAACACATGCTGCAGCTGCAATCCCTTGCATTGCAGTGCTGCAAAAATGGTCCCCTCTATTTCGTTCAGCTGGCAATAGTGCCTGCCGAGCGTGACCCATTCAAGTGAGCAGCTGCTGCAAGTAAATGAAGAGAGTTCTGTCAAAAAAGGGGCAATTGAAACTGACAGCCAGCTTTGTGACTTCAGCCCTGTTAGGCGCTCCCTGATATGAGGAGCTACTGCTTTTGGATCATGTGACCATACCCAAGTTGAAAGAAAAAAAAAAAAGTATTTATGTTTCTCTCTTTTACAAATGGTACACAGAATAGGAGGAGGGGGGAGGCAACATTTTTGACCAGTCTTACTGTATATTAGCCTTTACTTCAAGTTTAGAGCAGAACTCCAGGCAAAAACTATTTTACATTTCCTTATTGCTGATTTCCTACCTTCACTAAATATGTCATCCATCATCTGGTTCACTCAGCAGTTGCTCTGAAATAGCCTATTTGTTTTCAAATCAAACCGTTAATCCTCTTTGGTTTCCTGTTTGTAAGACCAGTGGCTGCTATACCTCCTATTCCCCCAGCCACTGGTCTTGGCACATCCCTTCTGTAGCTCCTTCTCCAGGACGCAGTCATGTTATTCAACCCCACTTGCAGTGGTGGGCAGACCAAGACTCTCAGACACATTCAACATGTACAGGCCTAGTGTACCCACTCACATTCAGTGCAATTCCCAGAGGCTGATGGGAACTGTAGTTTCCTTTTACTGTAGAGAGAGAAGAGAGTATATGATGCAATCCTTGCTTTTACACCTCCTCCTTGGCAGAGTAGATGCTATTATCTTTTGAACTATAGAGATGACTTCCTGTAAATTCAGTTAGACTTTTCTCTTCAGTGGTAAGGCATTTTACAAATGTATTGACTGTTTAGTGTTCTGTGTAGGGGGTGTTCTAATGGGTAATGTTTTTGCCTATCCCAGAGTTCTTTAAAGCAGAACTTTACATATAACAACTTGATATAAAATAATGTTCTTTAGCAAGGAACATTAATAATTATGCTACCAAATTTTGTGTGTGCTGTAAATTGCCTCTAGCATTGCTCCTGTTTCTTCTTACTGGAGACTGCCATTTTGCTGAAGCCCAGAGCCCCTGAACAGCAGTAAATATTTAGACTGTCAGCAAATTGGCCTCTATAAATTCAACACAATACCTACAAATAGAGAGCAACTAAGCATGTGCAGATCAGAGTGAAACAGTGTATTACTGGATTTTAATCAGTATAGGCAGTCATTTTGAATGCTTTACATAGCTATACCAACAAAAGTGGCCACCCTGAAAGTGATCTACCAGGACTTCATTTTCTGAATAAAGTTCCACTTTATGGAGTACAGTAAATTACATTTTCGCTTTTGGGTTTAAATACGAAGAAAACGAGAACAAATCTAGATGTTGGCAAATCGTTAATTGAAGTGGTAATTGAATCAGGTATTAATGATGGCAAATGTGTTTTGAACAAAGAGGTGA